ATACTAAGGAAAAAAATATTTATATATGGAAATACGTAAAAAAAAAAATGGAAGACAGCTTATTTCAACTGAAGAATTAGTTTTCGATAATTATTAATTCTTTAACTTTTTTTTCTTTAATTTACTTTTTTAACAGTATTTGATTTAGATGAACCCCCCCCCCCAAAAAAAAAAGGGGTGCAAATGCTTCTAAATAATTAATTTTGAACCTATGTTTTAAAACCAGTAAAACTAAAGATCCCTCCCTCAAAACTGCTGACGTTAATTGCCTCGCGCCATCTCCCGGGGGAAGAATCACAGATTTACGTTAATTCAGCTTTTATTGAGTTCGCTCTCCGGAAAGAATGCGTAGGTTTTCTTGGCATGTAACTGTAAATGAAAGTGATTTAAATCATATATCCGTAGCACTTCAAAATTAAATGGAAAGATGAAAAAGGGAGAATGTTATGAGACAAATAGATTGGTGTATGAGTCATTATCAAAAATCGCCAAAATTTTGGTCACAAGCCGATAAAAAAGTATATGAAGTAAAAATAATATAAATTTTCACATCACTATTCAGAATACATTATTCTGTAGTTGGCAGAATATTAATTTTATAGCTGTGTGATATATTTAAAGAAAAAATACATTGATAATAGCTCAAATTAGCACATTTTGTGATGTCCTACACTCCTTTCCATTGAATTAACAAGTGATTTATGGCATATGTTGATCATTTTCTTTTCATTTTTTTCCTTGTATGCCTTAAACTATTCATAATAAATGCCATAAAAACACTAAAATTGTCTTAAATAAGCTCATCTTGTAAATATGAAGACTAAAAGGTGTATCCCACGAGTTTTTGTCTCTCCTGTTACGCCAATGAAAATCAAGAAAATAGAAATATTTAGAATTAACTTTTCTGGGTTTCATACTTACCATTAGCCTTGGTTACATTTGCATGATACTAGGTTGTTAATGTAATTTTTTTTAAATTTGATAAGTTTGAATAAAATGTCCAAAATATAACTACGATTTACGCAGTAGAAAAAAATGACGTCCGTATTGTTACATTGAAATAAAGCTTAAACAATGGAGTGAAACAATTTTAACTTCTTTTACAAAATAACTTAAACATTTTGCTTCAAACCTACTGCATTGTAGTAAACTCCTAAAATGAATGTTGACCTCAAATCTAATTTGTCCTCATCATTTTTCAAGTGGTGGTGTCTCCATTTGAGTGAAAAATTCCTGAGAGGGATGTTTAACAACAAACAAAATGACATAAAAACACAATATTGATTTGCGTTAAGAAATGTGCAGGGGATTTTTTTCATCATAAATCTTCTTCTCAAGAACAGCAAGGGCATTATTGTCCCCCATTTTGGGGAAAGGGAGGGGACATCAAATCTCATTTGTCTGTCAGTCTGTCCATCTTATTGACAGGTAGTATGTGTATCTGTCACAATGAATTTAACCTTGGTCATAACTTTTGAATAATAAGAGATAGTGCTTTCATATTCACATGTACATTACCACAAAACTTTCTAAATATACTATGATTTTTTAACCCAAGTTAGATCTTGACCTTAAAGTTTTACCTGCTTTCCAAAAAATAACTTTTTAAATTGATGATTTTGAAAGAGAAAAGAAAGGGCATTCAAATTATACATGTTTATAACATGCGAAAAGATTTTCTAAATATATCATAACTTTTGACTCTGTGACCTTGACCTAGAAGTTTAACCTACTTTTCAAAAATATTATATTGACGTATATATAACTTTTGATTCAAAAGAGATAGGACTTTCATATTTGACATGTACATTACCTGCATCAAAATGTTACAGAGCATGCTATGATTTTCCCCTTTGACCTAATTTTCAAAAATAAATATATGATAGAGGTGCATATTTGACACACAATCTGCCATAAATTATGGCATCCCATTCACTAAAACACAGAAAGCAGAGGACCACAATTCTTTGAATTTGCTTGTATAATCTTGATAGATGGAAACATCCTCATATAATGTAGATTCAAGTTTTTTATGCCACACCATGATTAGGAATACATGTATAGTTTTGTCATGTCCGTCCTCCACCCTTCCATCTGTCTTTCCATCGGGCTCAAAGAAACTTTCTAGATATTTTTATCAAAGTCCATATGTTGATGCATACTAATGTAAATATCCAACTGCAGCAATATTTTTTGACTTTGACCTTTCCTTTGACCCTCACTTAACTTTTCTTAAAATTAGTGTTTAGCTTTATTTTAAAGAAACTGTTCAAGTTGTGTAATGAAACTTCACATGATGATACACACTGATGTAAGCTTTACAATGTTTCACTCTTTTTAACCTTAACCATTCCTGTGACCTTGAACTCTGCTCATTTTTCTAAAATTAATGTCTAGATCAGTTTTGAATAAACCATTCACGATATGTTTATCAAACTCCATATGCTCATACATGTACATACCGCTGAGAGCTATTAATACATCAACTTATTTTGACCTTGAATTTTCCTTTGACCTTGACCTCACTTTTTAAAATATGTGTTTATCTAAGTTTTAAATAAACCATTAATTATAGTTTTATCAAACTTCATATGCTAATAGTAAATTCATATTGATGTAAGCTTTACAACTGCAACAACATTTTGGCCCCAACCTTTCCTTTGACCTCTCTTTTTAAAGAAAAAGTGTTAAGCTCAGTTTCATTAAATCATTCAAGATATTTTTATCAAGCATGATATGCTGATATGTATTAGTGAAGCTACTCAACTGCATCAAAGACTTCACCTTGCATATTCCTGTGACCTTGACCTCCATCCTTTTTAATTTGTATTTCGCTTAGTTTTAAAGAAGTGATTTAAGACATTTTTAAAACATCATTTTTCGACCTCCATTAGTCCCCCCCGGGACAAAATCAACATTCCAAAACCTTACTGCACATCTACATGACACTACCAACAATCTCCCAAAAGATGATTAGGCTGCTGTGTAAAATGAAAGAGGAGTTCAGGGAAGATAGGGCTTTTTGCATAAAAAACGTCATTTTTCGACCCCCATTTGACCCCCCGCGGCAAAATCAAAATTCCAAAACCCTACTGCACATCTACATGACACCACCAACAATCTCCCAAAAGATAATTAGGCTATTGTGTAAAATGTAAGAGCAGTTCAGGGAAGACGGGGCTTTTTGCATAAAAAACGTCCTTTTTCCAACCCCATTTAACCCCCCGAGGCAAAATCAAAATTCTGAAACCTTACTGCACATCTACATGACACCACCAATCATCTCCCCAAAGATAATTAGAATACTGTGTAAAATGTAAGAGGAGTTCAGGGAAGACGGGGCTTTTTGCATAAAAAACGTCATTTTTCGACCCCCATTTGACCCCCCGAAGCAAAATCTAAATTCCGAAACTTTACTGCACATCTACATGACACCACCAACCATCTCCCCAAAGATGATTAGGCTACTGTGTAAAATGTTAGAGGACTTCAGGGAAGACGGGGCTTTTTGCATAAAAGATGTCATTTTTCGACCCCCATTTGACCCCCTTAAGCGAAATCAAAATTCAAAAACCCTGCTGTACATCTACATGACACCACCAACCATCTCCCAAAAGATGATTAGGCTGCTGTGTAAAATGTAAGAGGAGTTCAGGGAAGAGCGGGTTTTTTGCATAAAAAATGTCATTTTTCGACCCCCATTTGACCCCCCGGGGCAAACCTTCCTGCACATCTACATGACACCACCAACCATCTCCCAAAAGATGATTAGGCTACTGTGTAAATTGTAAGAGGAGTTCAGGGAAGACGGGGCTTTTTGCATGAAAAACGTCATTTTTCCAACCCCATTTGACCCCCGGGGCAAAATCAAAATTCCGAAACCTTACTGCACATCTACATGACACCACCAACCATCTCCCAAAAGATGATTAGGCTACTGTGTAAAATGTAAGAGGAGTTCAGGGAAGAAAAGTGTGACAGACGGACGGACGGACGGACAGACGGACAGACATGAGTAACAACAATGTACCCGAACTTTCTTTAGAAAGTGCGGGTATAAATATAAAACATAGGGGTTATTCTCGAATGAATTATATTAATCTCTTTAAGCAATTTTCTGACCCTGTAACGCAACCGCAAAATATTACCTATTTCTATAGTAGGTCTAAAGAAAGGAAAACAAATTCCCCTGATATGAATGTCACAGAGTAACGGTCTTATTTGTTAAAAAAAAAACAAACCTGGTTCGTTCTCATTTTATATATTGTATTTGTTATGGAAAAATGGAAAGAAAACCAATATTAATATGAAACGGCAAACAAAAACAAACACAAAACATAAAGACATAAAACATAAACAAAAACAATAATGGTAGGCAAGATAATGATACAGCTGACAGAAGATCGTTATTACATATTTCTAGCAAGTAAATGAAATACAAGATCAATATACATTTTACCATGCATTCGAATAGAAGATCGCAAATGAAAATGGTGTCGTCATACAGCCTTCAATGTCTTATCTATCCAAATCCCGACTATGTAATAAAACAATTATGGACTCTTTTGGTGTTGGTTTGTTATTAACCAGGAAAATATCAATATTGACCAAGGCCTATGAATAACAAACCATATTCAACACCAAATGAGTCCATAATTGTATAATATAACCTACCTCGAAGAGTTCGATTATTATATTTAAAAAATATCGTTAGATTGAGTTAGATCAACATACTGTAAAAGCACAAATATTCGTTGGGGGATTAAATTTCGTTTATTTCGTTGTTAACAATTATCAACGAAATTAAATCCCACACGAAATTTTTTATGACTATATATTGAATGGAATTACTCTCAAAACAACGAAATTAAATGCCCACGAAACTATTTTTGATGACAAATCAACGAAATTTTATCCCCACGAAAATTTGTGCTTCTACAGTAAAGCGATTGTTTGGAGAATAGATACTTGAATGAATTTTTGACAAAATATAATTTCAGATACCTATATTCCAACAAGATAACCACCATTTCAGACAACACCTTTAATGGAATGCCAAATTTACAGACACTGTAAGTTTTTAAAAATTCATTTATTAAACATTTACTTTTCATCTGTCAGATTTTTTACAAAGATTATCTGTTATTCAATCCCATATTTAATGTATCATGCCTACAACATTTTGTGCTGATTTGTGAAAAAAGTACAAAGAGGATGACAAATTTGATTCTTTTATGATTTTCTTCAATTCTAATGCTACTGTATCTTATTTCAATTTGTTCTTAATTTTTCCCCTCTGAGATTCTCATCTAGGCCAAACTTCTTTCAAGATAAATTTTCTCTTCTACTGAAAAATATAAACAAGCAAAAGAAGGATATGTGAACTCATCCTTGTTCTTTTCTTGATAAAACCTTTTTTCTTCATTGTCCACTGCCAATTCTTGATAATGTATATATCCTCTGCCACTGACCAAATGTTCTACCTTAGTATTAACAATTCTATGTTTGCAAAGCATGGTAGGAACACCAATTTCTCGCACATCCTTTTTTTCAATTAGCACTCTGATACACTGCAAATATATCACAAGGAATATATCAGTTTTGTTTTTTAAAGAATTTTGACAGCGTACTTAGTATGACACTGTCCCCTTCAACAAAAGGGACATTCAAACAACCATGACTACTGTCCCTATTTTGAACGCTTTTAAATAGCCAAATACTTATGAAACGAGAGCTGAAATGGAAATTTCACCAAAATTTTTTAAGTTTATAAACTTAACATTCAATGAAAACAAATTGAGATTGCTCTGCTTTTTTTTTTTAGGTTTCCCGTATTTTGAAGGACTTTAAACTAGTCCGTTATCTGACGCATTTTCTTATAGTAAGCCTTAACAGTGCTGAGTAAAGTCATTGTAAATTGGTTCTGAACATTGTCTTGTAATAAAAACAAATCATAATAACTGATGTTAAATAACACTTAGGAAATCATAATGTAACAAAAACCTACGAAAAGGATAAAATATCTTTGTTTTTAAGACACAAATGTGGAATTATGTTAATTTATGATATCCCTAGAGAACGATAATAAACAAAACAATCCCTGAAACATTAGTATTTTCCATTATTCAATTCGCGCACTATTCGTTAAGCGTTCGTTTAAATTTTTGTGTTTAGAGTTCACCATGCGCTGGCGTCCACCGTTCATGGAGCGTTCACCGTTTGCTTTTTCAGCGTTCAGCTTGCATAAATGTTCACAGATCGTTTATTCTTCATTGTCATTTGGAACTCTAATGTGGTAGGATTTATCTTTGTAAAGGGGAAAAGGCGTGAAAAAGGGTTTATTTTTTCTTAAAGCATCATTCTATAGTTATTTTTTTATTTACCAGTTGATAATATGTCGAGTGATTTTTTTAACAGAAATGTTGTTCGTGGTATTTTCAGTAAGTACAATGTTACATGTACATGATTTAAATTTAAACACGGTATCAATGTACAATTTTGATATGTAAAGAACTGAAAACCAAAGAGGTGATTATCCAGGTCACTTCATTAACCACCTGCTTATTATTTATAAAAATATACATTTCTTACATTAGTCTGGTCCGATTTATAGAAAAAAATACTTCTAACGGCAAATAATTATTATTTGGTCCAGCATAGTTTTACACCCTAATTCGAGCATGCTGAATCCGAAAAAATATGCTGGCCTTCATGAAAATGGCGTTAAAGGGGTCAAAATGGCGATTCAAAATGGCGGACATCCAATTTTTCTTATTTTCTATAAATGGAGAAGTTATGAGTGATTATCTGACTATGAGTAATAAAACTATAAAAACATACTATAAAATGCTAACATTATTAGTTTAACTCAGAAAATTTAGCCATTTTTACAGATAATTCAAATTTTCTCTGATTTATTTGTCTATAATTGTTTCTTTATTCTTTTTTGTTCAGGATTTTACATTTGCAAATACACTGCAGATTTTTATTTTTCCTCTACATCTCACAGTTCTACAATTGAATGATGGTGCAGCTGTAAGTTTAAAGTTAAAATGGCGATTCAAAATGACGGATATTCCTTTTTTTCAAATTATTTCTTAATGTCTTTTACATAGGAGAAATGATTTGTGAATATCTTATCGAGCAAATACAATTAACTAATGTAAAATTCCAATAGAACACTATTATGAACACTTTAAAATGGAAAATTTAGTCGTTTAAATTTAAATGTGTCAATTAGCTGAAAACTCAAAATGACATTATATTCACTCGAATCTTAAATTCTCGAAAATACTCAAATTGCTTAATTTTGAAAATAAATTACAGTTTGTTTTTTTTTATATATATAAGTAAAGTATATTGATTATTCCATTAATAATGAAGAAACAAAAAATATTAGAATAATTCGTGTTTTTTCTGGAAATAGTTCAAACAAACTCGACTTAAGAGTTTCCAAATTTTTCCCCTCGTATTTGACCGTGTTCCAAAGCCTTTGAGCCCCCGTCCACCTAAAATCACTCCTGAATCCAGTCTTTATCAACTCGCTTTTCTACCTCAACATCCCTCAGCAGACCATTAAATATAACTGAGGAAATTCATTTATGATTTCATTGAATACTTTGTTCTAGCTTTTTCGCACTTATAAGAACTTAGTATTATCCCCTAACATCTTCCATTCCAGCTTTATTTTATATGTTTTACTCTGTCTTCGGAATTTTGGTATTTTCAACAGTCAAGTAAAGACTTTAAGTAAAAGATCTTTTCTCTGAAGTTCGAAAAAGAGTAAGCTCACAGGGGGCCACCAGACAAACCAAAATCCTCCAAAAAACGATTATTTAAACTGATAGTCCGCCGAAATATGGCTGAAAAATAGCCGACCCAGCGTTAAACAATATACAATCAATCAACACTCAAGGAAAAATATATTTATGTTCAAATGTTAGAAATATATTTTGTTTTCCAAAACCTTATGCAAAATGAGGAAGAGTTACTGTGAGCAATTAGCTCACTAAATGATACCCCCGTCACCCATATGAATACCTATGAATACACTGTGTCCATGTTTTTCTATGTGAAACCCAAAATATGTGTTTGATCAAAAGTAAAAGAGGAGGTGCACAATGGCAATATATAATAAAGGTTCTGTGAAAGTTTATCAAATTTCATTCAGTGGTATGAGACGAGTTGTGGATAAGAGATGAGTATCCCAAAGCTTAAAAGACGGACGGACATACCGACTACGGTACTCTATACCCTCCCGCTTTTCAATCGGGAAGGGAGGGGGTTATGAAAAAAATATCTGATATTCAAGACTTGTAGATCTTTATTTCGTGAGCGCGTATAGATTTGTTTTCTTTTTGGGTAGAAAGGTCATTCTATTAGCAAGAAAATTCTGAAACTTCATCATCTGGAATTACATCGTGTGCATTTTTGAGTGAGAAAAGTTGAAAAATTATGCAATTTAACAGAGCCTGCAGATTCATCGTGATTCCTATCACTTACAAGTTTTCGTACAATAAACATAAGCCATCCTTGACTTCGATCTAGTCAACACTTCTCTTGACAACAAAATTTTCTTAAACACTCCAAGAACTTTACAAGGCAACTTGATCCACACTTCTTCGTTAGGATAGTGTAAAGTTGTATCAAGAATCGAGGAAGGATTGAACACAAACATTTTTTTCTTTCATATTTTGTAAATTAATTTTTTTTTAAATTTATATACACTGTTCAATACAAAATTGCATGGTGAAGGAGGACCGTTCACACCATGAAATATTTGAGATTGCAGTTGAATTTTTGACTGATAATAACAAAATGCAAATGTAGAGACACAGAATCAGAGCTGGACAATAATAAAAATATGGTTTACGTATATTATACTGATAATTCTTAATAAATATGTTTATGTTTGGATTTTATAATATATTCAGATTTATATGATGTAACAATTACTTACAATGTAATTGCTCGTGGTTCATCATTTTAAAAATCATACTAAGTTATGTTTGCACTAGATCTTCCACATGAACATAAATATTTTTTTCTACACTGGACTAAAATTAGATCAAAAATTTCCAACAACTGATATGATTAAGCAACCCTCGAACTACAATATGTTCACTCGCCTTAATGCTCGGTGAATTCTGCTCTTGGGGTAGCTTAATTTTCATATTGTCCTCAAAACAGCAATTATTGTATGATAATATTAACTTTTTTTATTTGAAGAAGCATGATACAAATATGATGGATAATAGGTGAAATGTTTTTGAAATTGTCCTCAAAAATTTATCATAATAATAGAAGTGATTAAACAAAAATCCGTTTTATAAAAACCTAAGTCATTAACAAAAATATAAATCCATTAACTTCCATCACATATTTGAACATTATTTCATGAATTAAAAAAAACTGTTATTTATTTTCTGCAAAACAAATCAGAATTAAGCAGTTTGGGTATTTTACGAAATCGAGTGTATAAGATGTCATTCGAATTGCCATTTTGAGCTAAATAACGCATTTTAAATTTAAACGACTAAATTTTCCGATTTAAAGTAATCAAACTAGTGTTCTATTGGAATTTTACTTAGTTGTACATTGCTCAATAAAATAATCCTTTCTCCTATGTAAATGACATTAATAAGAAATTATTTGAAAAGAAAGGAATGTCCGCCATTTTGAATAGCCATTTTGACTTTAAACTTACAGCTGCACCATCATTCTATTGTAGAATAGTGATATGTAGAGGAAAAAAATACAAAGCTGCAGTGTATGGATATTTGCAAACGTAAAATCCTGAACAAAGGACAATAAAGAAACAATAGACAAATAAATCAGAGAAAATTCTAATTAAGTGTCGAAACGACTCAATTTTCTGAGTTTAACTAATAATGTTAGTATCCTATTATAATTTTTATAGTTTTATTACACTCAGTAAGCCATTCACTCATTACATCTCCATTTTTAACGACATTTAGAAAAAATTAGAAAAATGGGATGTCCGCCATTTTGAATCGCCATTTTGACCTCTTTAACGCCATTTTCATGAAGGCCAGCATATTTTTTCGGATTC